TGAAATCGTTACGAAACCTAAGGTTCTGGAAGGATTTCGTCTTGCGCGCGCGAATGTCCACTTTACCTTATTTTTTGCAAGGGATTATTGAAATTTGATTATGTTAGAACAAGAAAAAGTAGCTCGCGCGAGCTCATGTAACATAAATGTTGAAAAACCATTGGTTTTGTGGGATTCGGACAGCGCGCGCGGAAGGACATTTTGACAATTTTTTCTTAAAAAACCATTGGGTTTTTGATGTTTTTATGTTAAAATCGCTACGAAACCTAAGGTTTTGGAAGGATTTCGTCTTGCGCGCACGAATGTCCACTTTACCTTATTTTTTGCAAGGGATTCTTGCAATTTGATCAAGTAAGAACAAGAATTTTCATTTTATAGTGTTTTTTGCAAGGGAAAACGGATTACAACAAAACAACCGGATCCGGTGACAATCCACTTTTCTGAAGCTTTCGCTAGAAAATGAAGGAAATGAGGCTGCGGCCTAGGTTTTGGAGGGGGGTCGCGCACCAGGGGTCTCAACAATAATATTTCTTTAGAAGTAATAATATTCAACAACAACAACAACAACAACAACAACAACAACAACAACAGCAACAATCCGCACCGCGGAAGCCCATTTCAGCCACGCACCCAGTGACAGTGAATGACCGTTCGGCCCCGTCGATCTGATATATACGGACTGCACCTTCCACGGGGTAGTGGGGCCGCGGTGGTGGGACTAGGGTTCTCCTTTCTGGGCCCCTCCCTTCGTCGTTGCCTCCCTCCCCTATTCCTCCCACAGCTGATTCGCCTCCTCCTCCTCCTCCTCCTCCTCCTCCTCCTCCTCCTCCTCCTGTTCCTACCGCCTCCTCCTCCTTCTCCTTTGTTCGTCCGCCTTGGCCTCTCCTTCCTCGGGGGGCAATTCGTTCCGGCCCCAGAGGGATAGCTCTCTCTCTCTCTTTCTCTCTCTCTCTCTCTCTCTCTCAATATATATCTATATATAAGTAGCGTTTCCATTATTTATTTGTTTGATTTCTCTCTCTCTCTCTCTCTCGTTTTTTTTGTTTTTTTTTTTCTCTCTCTCTCTCTCTCTCTCTCTCTCTCTCTCTCTCTCTTTCTCCCTATGTATACTGTGCCGTGATGAAAGATTGCCCCATTTTGACGGGTCGGAAGAAGTGCATCCTTCGTCCGCAATGCGAGCACATGTCTGTGCCGCGATGACAGATTGCCTCAGTGACGGGTCGGCAGAAGTGCATCCTGCGTCCGCAATGCGAGCGCACGTTTGTGCCGTGATGACAGGTTGCTCAATTTTGACGGGTCGGCAGAAGTGCATCCTGCGTCCGCAGTGTGAGCGCACGTCGCTAGTCGCCCCGTTAGGGACGTGGAGCCTGGTACAATGTTACGGGGAGGTGGCTCGCTTTCGGGGCGGAGTTCGAACCTGGGCTGTCGGGGCGCGGTTCGAACTTGGATTTGGTTCCTTAAATTAAAATTTTATTCAGCCAAACGGGATGGCGGTTCGAAAACGGCAAACCGCGTGGGACATCCTGACAAAATTGGCTCTCAAGACGGTTCGAACTCGGTTCGAAACAATAGAATGCGGTTCGAAACAAAAGCAGAATGAGCGTTTCGCGTGGGGCTTCCCTCAAAAAACGGCGTTGGACCCAGTTCGAAACAAAAGGATGGCGGTTCGAAAACGGCAAACCGCGCGGGACATCCTCACAACATCTGCTGGCCTGATGGTTCGAACTCGGTTCGAAAGAAGGGGATGGCGGTTCGAAAACGGCAAACGGCGTGGGACATCCTCACACAAATTCTTGTTCTCACGGTTCCAACTCGGTTCGAAAGAAGGGGATGGCAGTTCGAAAACGGCAAACCGCGTGGGACACCCTCACAAAAATGGTCGTTCTGACGGTTCCACGTCGGCTCGAAACAATAGCATCGATTTCCAAACGGTTGGAAAACGAGCGTTTCGTTTGAGACTTCCTTCAAAATACGTTTGAAGCCCAACGGCCGCGTCGACGACGACGACGACGACGACGGCGACGACGACGACGACGACGACGACGACGACGGCGGGTATACGACGTTTACATGCGCTCTCGCCCGAATGCCGGCCACTCTTTAGTTCTCGCCTCACCGCCGGCCAGTGTCTCGGTCTGGCCGACCGCTCTCTGGGGTGGCGCCCGGAGAGGCCCCCGGTGCGGCGCTGGCCCCCTTTCGGAGGGGGGGACGTGCCGGGGGGAGACACCCGCCCCCCCCCTTCAAGGGGGGGACCCCTTGGGGGGAGATACTGCTGTCACCCCCAAACAGGGACATTTTTGAAAAGGACCCGCCCGTTTGGGCTGCTTCTGCTTGGGCCGGCTGATCTACACCATTTCCTATTGGAAAACCAATATGTTTTCCACTAGTTTTCCGGGTTCCGGCCTTTTCTGCAAAATCGTTTTTTTTTTTTTCCGACCCCACCCCGGAGGCCGAATCCAACAGGGAAAGCACGACTCATCCGCCCGTTTGGGCTGCTTCTGCTTGGGCCGCCTGATGCACCCCATTTCCTATTGGAAAACCCGTATGTTAGGAAGAGGGAGGATGAGGAAGAGGGAGGAGGACAGGAGGAGGAAGGAGGGAGGAGGGGAAGGGAGTGGGAGGAGGAGGAAGAGGAGGGAAATGATGAGGACGAGGAGGACGAGGAGTAGGACAGGCGCCGAAGGTTTCGGTGGGGATCGTTCGAAGTATGATATTGTCTGGGCCAAGTCGTTTTTTAGGGTTTCACCCCAGCTCCGAAGGCCCAATCCAACAGTCAAAACACGACCTTCTAGCAGTAAATGCGAGCGTGATCGCAACAGTCTCGATTGCTATCGTAAGTCCAATGCAAATTCGTCCAGGTCGTCCTCGCTGCAACTTTCGGGGCAAGTTGGGGGGAGGAGGGGTGGAAGGATGAGGGAGGAGCTTGCATCGATCAACTTTCAGGCTTTATTGATATTGTTGTGCTCTGCGTACTTGAGCTGCTTGTCAGCAGTGGTGTTCACTGGCAATGTGGCGTTCACAGGCGGCCGGGTGCTCACACTCACAGTGGTGTTCAGGCGTTGCTGGACTCGGGTAGTGTTGATCCGGCTCCGAGGCCAAATCGAGCAGTCAAGACATGGCCTTCGAGCAGTAAATGCGCGCGTGGTCGCAACAGTCTCGGTTCTTATCGCAAATCCAATACAAAATTATCCAGTTTGTCCTCGCTGCAACATGTAGGACATGTTGGAGGGAGGACGGGTGGAAGGATGAGGGTGGAGCTTGCATCGATGAAATTTCAAGGCTTATCGATGTTGCTGCGCTCTGCGTGCCTGGTGTTCACTAGCAAGAGCTCAGAGTCACATTGGTGCTGAGGCGTTGTTGGACTCAGGCAGTATTGATCCAGCTCAGGCCGAATCCAAGAGGTAAGCAACTGTCTTGGAAGAAATGCGCGTGCGGTCGCAGCAGTCTCGATTCCCAGCGCAAATCAAATACAAACTCGTCCAGTGTGTCTCCGCTGCAACTTCAAGTTGGAGGGAGGAGTGGTGGAAGGATAAGGGTGGATCTTGGCGATGTTGTGCCCACAGGCATCTGGGTGCTCACTGTCACTGCGGTGCTCAGGCGCTGCTGCGCCCAAGTAGCACTGATTGTATTTCGGTGCAACCAGCTCCACATCACAACGACACCGATCGCAGCACCCCCTCAAGCCACAACAGCGTGTGGATGCATCGTAGCCATTACTTCGGCTATGCTAAAAAAGGGCCAAACTTTAATCACGCCCATGTATATACATAGATATAGAAAGAGAGCAAAAAGCGGTGAGCCAGCGCGCTTCAGCGTAGCAACCTCGGTAAATACGTCCAGCAGCATGGCAGCAGCTGCCTCTAGACGTAGCGGGGGGGGGGGGGCCCAACGGGTCGCCCCGTAGTCGTCCAGGGGGTGTGGAGCGGGAAGCCTCGAGCAGACATCGTCCTTGGCCTCCAAGGGGGCGAGAGCGTCTGGGCCACGAGGGGGAGGCACCAGGAGCTTTTGGAGACAGCTTTCTCTCCTCTGGCCATGACGGGCGTGACCCGGGGGGGGGGGGGGGGAGGGGCTGGTCACGTCACGATTCGCGCTGGCGTCGTAACGCGACCAGGGGGGAGGGGGGGCGGAGGGGCTGGTCACGAGCGTTATCACGAGATATATATATATAATATATATATATATATATATATATATTATATATATATATATATATATATATATATATATTACAAACAACACAACAGATTTCCTGAGGAGTGGGAGACTCCCAGGGACACAGATCCTTGGGGCGGAGGGCCCATCGCAGCCATGTGCAAAGGAGGGCGGGGGGAGAGGGGAAGGCTTCTCAGAAGCACCCCTGCGTCTTAGAAGGCGCGGGTCTTATCTATAGATGTAGGGCCGCCGCCTTCTAAGAAGCAGCCTTCTTCTAAGAAGCCTTCCCCCTCCCTCTACCCCCGTGTGCGCGCCGCCAACCATCTGTCCCCACCGTCATCCTCCCTCGATCGTCCTCCGGGGGGGGGGGAGGCTCGGCTCCCTGAGGGCGCCCTCTCCAGAGGGGCGTGCCCGTTGCGAGGGTTGCCCGCGCATGGGGCAGCGCGTCACGTGGGCGAGGGCACGGGCCCATACCCAAAGTCGGACTGGCGCTCACAAAGGAGTGCTTTCAGAGTTTGCAAGGTTTCGGCTTCTTGTGCAATCCGGCCACAGGTTCCCACCAGGACTCCATGAATTGATGCTTGCGCTTCCTCCTCCTCCTCCTCCTCCTCCTCCTCCTCCTCCTCCGTCTGCGCCTGATTCATTCATTCACTCATTCACTCGTTCGGGGAGTCTGGCCGAATGCCCACACCCGCTGCCTGCCGCCTGTCGGGCAGCTCCTCTTCTTCCTCCTCCTCCTCCTCCTCCTCCTCCTCCTCCTCCTCCTCCTCCTCCTCCTCCTCCTCCTCCTCTTCCTTCTCCTCCGCCTCCTCTCTCCCCTCTCTCTTTTCCTCCCCCTCCCCCCCGAGGAGGTCGCAGAGGAGGCGGCGGTAGAGGAGGCTGCCGAAGAGGCGCCGGCGGAGGAGGCTGCCGAAGAGGCGCCGGCGGAGGAGGCGCCGGTGGAGGAGGCGGAGGCGCCAGCCGAGGAGGCCCCGGCGGAGGACGCCCCGGCTGAGGTCGTCAGCGTGAGGGGAAGCGGTCTGGAAGGAAGTGGGTGGCCCAGAGTTTTCCTGAAATCGGGCCTGTCCCTCTACAGGAGGAAAATTCATTAGCAGTTCAAAAATAGTCCGGAAACATGTTTGTTGACTATGTCTGATCATGTGGGGGCATGTTTGGGGTTTCTTGCTTTTGTTTCGTCCAAAATCCGCCTGTAGGGTGACCTCCCCAGGGGCCAGCTCCTCCTCCCGAGCTGGTTGGTGGACGGCGGGAGAGCTCCGGGGCTGGTTTCCTTTGGGCCCCGCTTCCTTGATTGATATGGGCCGCTTTGCCAGTATTACCACAGGCAGGAGAGGGAGGAGAGGGAGGAGGAGAGGGAGGAGGAGAGGGAGGAGGAGGAGGAGGAGGAGGAGGAGGACCTCCTCATCCTCCCTTCTCTCCCGTTTTGCCTATGGTACGCGTGGTGCAAAGTCGGCCCATCATTCATTCTGAAGACCGTCTCCGTGGCAGGAGCCCTGGCATCGGAAGGGGATATATGTTTTCAGTCGCGGAGTCTGTTGCCCCGCTTCTGCATCTGGGCCCATGTTGGAGCCCGCGGCCATCGCAAGCTGGTGCAGGGCGAACAGCTAGCCCCGGGGAAGGGGTCGGGAGCCGTGGGGCCCGCGGCTTCAAAAACACATCGCCGGATGTTTGGGCAGGGGGATCCCCGCGCTGACCCACGTTGTCTCAACAAGCTCCTTCCCTCTCTTCTCGCGCTCTGTTCTATCTCGCCCTCGTGCCTCAATTCGCCTCTGGTGCAACCCACCGCCAGCTTTGACAGGCGCCTGGCCGTCTCCCACGGCCGGGCGCCCGCAGACCTGCAATAAGTGCGCGGGAGGGAGCGCGTTTCTGGCGCCTGGTGTCGCCGCGCTCGGGCTCCCGGGGCCCTGACCCGGCCCCAGAACCGTCACAGAACGTTTCGGGACGAGCCGACCTTGGGGAAAACCTGGGGGCCCTGGGCCCAAGGACCCTTTCCTTTGCTGGCAATGTCGTCAACCTTCGAATCCTGCTCCTGCGTCCACTTCTCGGGCCGAAAGAGAGGGAGGGAAGGGGGGGGTACGAAATCTGCTGCATGCAGCTGGTTTCGGCCCCGCCGCCGGGCCCACTCCTCGATGCATGGGCGCCTCCCGGCGCCGGGAGGCGCCGGGAAAAGCAGCTACGCGAGCTGATTCTCAAGACCCCCCTTTGCAATCCACCCCTTTCGCCCGGCGCG